GATTTTCTCTTCTGACAGTCGATTTCACCATCATACCTCGAAGGCACGACCTTAAAGAATTTGTCTCTGTGGGTTAGAATAATTTGAGAAGGGTGAGACATTCCAGCTTTCTCACATGTTGTCTTTGTTGATTTCAGAAGATCTGGCCTACAGTTATGATTATCTGTCCCACCAATGCTTTTCATCAGGATCCAAGCATAGATTCATTTATTAGAGAAATCTCTGACATTTTGTTATTTTTAAATTTTGTCTTTTTGGTCGGATTAAAGAAACAAGAAGTAATGCACTACTTAGTAGGTTGTAAAGGGAGCGATAGGCAGATTTTGTTACCTTTAAACAGAACCAGACTAGTTGTTTCTTCCTGTATCCAGTCTTTATGCTAAGCTAGGCTATCCTATTATTTCCCTTACAGACATGACAGTGCCATCGATCGTCTTATCTACCTTTCGGCAAGAAAGCAAATAAGTGTATTAGTAAGCGATAAAGGTGCAGTGTTTAAATATGATTATGTTGTAATTGTGGGCTACAGCATTATATAGTCAATCATTACAACATGTTCTCTATTTCACTTAATGTGCAGCTAATGAAACGTTTATTTGAGCTTAGTGTGAAGTGTAAGTTTAATGCCATGTTTACATAATTGCACAAGTGTTGCCCAGCTACTGTCACCTCAGGTCTACTTTATGAAAGTGGCTGATTTCTGAGGAAACCTTTTAAAATTCATAAACATAGCCCCTGAGGGAGGATAAACTAATTTGAGGTTTTAAAAAAACACACTCAGCAACCTGAAAAAATAAACTGCAGCACTCAGGGCAATTGCAGTCCTATAAATCTCGCTGCCTGATTGAGTTCATGTTTAGGCAAATGTCTTCTACTTCTCAGAATAAATCTGATCTCGCTGCCAATCAATCTTAGTGCAACATTTACTATTAAAGGGTATATTCCATTAGCATCTGCATCCTTGATCTCTTTTAATAACATGTCAAGGGGCCGAAAAAAATATTGTAAATTTACAAGGAAGCATGTTTACAGAGTAATCTGCCGCATGCTGCAGTACACCTGCTGGAGCTTGCAGGAATGAACGTTATATTTACATTAAAAATAATTGAGAGAATGTTTTAACATGAGAGAGATGTTAAAAACATCTCATTTATCTGTTTTAACGGCCCAGGCTGAACCACCACCAACAGTGTCAACCCATGAACTCATGAATGTGCTCCACATGTGGGACCTCTTAATGGAGTTTAGAGTATCACCACAGGCCTGAGTTATAACCTGCTCTCTGACTGCAGGACCTCTTCTGCACAGTTTGCACTGTTCGCTCTTCATTTATAAAGCTAACGGCTTTTACAACAGGCAATGACACAAGCCGTGATAACTCACTCTCAGTGCTGTTTTTCCTTTTCTATATTACCAACGCAGGCCCTTGTTCCTGCAGCTTGTAGAGGTGATGAAATTTTATCTTAGACAAATACTCAGTTTCCTTTCAGAGCACTGCTGCTGTGCACAGTTAGTTGGGGGTGCACAGCCTCATGGACAGACACAGAGGTCCTTGGATGCAATCAGTGTGGCTATGGATGATAAGAAAATATGAGCCAGTATATCATAATTACATCTATTAAAGGAATAGTTCGACATTCTGGGCAAATACACTTTTTCACTTCCTTGCTCTGTGATCTGTGCCCTAAGTATGGGGCTGGAGCAAGCAGGCGATTAGCTTAGCTTAGCTTAAAGACTGGAAGCAAAGGAAAAAGGCTAGTCTAGCTGTTTTCTAAGTTGAAAAAAGGTGCCTACTGACACCTCTAAAGCTCACTTAATAACACTTGTTGTTTGATCTGCACACAAACAGAAATGTGTGGCGTTGAACAGTTTATCCATCTATCCTGCACTTTTGTGTCAGAATAGCTCCAGCCGTATTGGCTGTACAATCAAATATTATCATTTTTACTGCTGCTTCCAGTCTTTTGCGAGGCTAGGCTAGACTAACCATCGTAGCTCTAGCTTCACAGACAACGCGCAGTGGTATTAATCTTTTCATTTAAATCTTGGGGAAAGAAAGCGAAAAAGTGCATTTCCCAAAATGTCAACGTTGTGTCAGGGCACAGAAGTGTGTCAACTCTGTTCCAGAAGCATTTCTCCCTTTGGAAGCTTTGGTTCAGCATTGATTGAATGCCATATGGTTTGCTATAATTGCCCTTCAAATTATACAGAATAAACTCAGCAATATTTTCTTGTGACATCAATAATTAAATCTTCACTTCACAGCCTGTGGTTACCTCAGCCAACTGACATTGTGATGTCCAAGACACAGCTGCATAAAGTTAAATAGTATCTGGAGATTTCTGCAAGGGCTGATTCATGATACTTCCAGACTAAAATAACTTCCAATTGTCTGTTAACATGTTGACTTGCTTCCTATAGAATGAAACAATGCTCACACATGAACAGATTGGGCATGAAAACAGGATGACACCTGACATCCTTGGAACAAATATGTGTCTGAGACAAAAATATGTCAATGTAGCATGGAAGTGTAAACAGGATTTGACATGTTTTAAATGAAAGAACTTGTTGTGATATAATGCTAATCACCTTAGGCAACGGTAAGCAGCTTTTTACTCATGGCTGGAGCATTTCCTATTATTCCAGTATTTTAAATATAGTTTCTTCACAATCATACAGTTGGTGCAGGAGGAAAAGATTCATGCTTTGTCACGTCTAATTAATGACAGGAAAAAAGGGTCTGGATGTTAAATATTGTCGTATCCTGTTTGGGTCTGCTGTCCAGGTGGTCCAACAAGTCATATTGCATCATCTCCCAGAATCCTCCTGTTCAGGTTGTTCTCTCTATTCTTTTGCAAAATATTTTGGTTTTATTATTTAAAATATGTATTCAGCAACATTCACGGTTTGAGCCACATCAAAGATGATACATGGACGATAAATAAATAAAATTCTGTCTTTCACAGAAACTTTGGTGTGAGTGGAGCTCTAACTATTGTTAATGAGATCCTTCAAAGTAAGGGGCTCCCTGGCTCTCCACCTTCCCCTTAAAGGCCCCACAGTGGTGGAAACCAAAGCTGACCCAACAATGATGAATGGACATCATTAATGTTGTTCATCTGTTTACCTTTTACTCTGCAATCTGGGAAAATGAGGGGTCAACAGCAAAAGGGAAATGTGCTTACTTACCAGTTCCTGAGAGTCACAACATCAAGAGACACTGCAGACTGCGAGCGACTCATTCATCGGATCAACTGACCTTCCCTCAATCACAAAACCCAATTAGGGAAGAAGTTTAGTTGACATTTGAATCTTTATATTTACTTTCTGGGTCAGTTCAAGCTTTCATATATTCTGGATTTTTATGAATAAATGCCTTGTTTTAATCCCTGCTCATAATGAACCCATCTATTGGCTGGAAGGCAGGAAACAGAAGCCTATTTCTCTTTTAGAACTTGATTTCATTGAGAGGATAGTGGGTAGTGTTGCGCTTGAATAAAGAAGAAAAATAAATCCAAACAGGAATGAAAAATGAAACATTTTTTTTCCAAATACAACAACCAAAAGATTCATGGCGAGCACTGTCATGCTTAAGTGGTTTTAGCAAAAGCAAGGTTGCTTCACAATCTGGCGGCAAAGAGATCCATCTCGCCTGGACTGTGCTATCACTCGAGCCAGGTTTGCTTGTCTTGTCAGTGTGTATTTATAGTGCAAACAATATCAGTGATCTTATTAGGCCCTATCAGCAAATGCACCTTTAAAAACACAGATAGATCACTGAGCAGATGGCGAAACGGCAGTAAGAGTCTGGTTCTGTCCTCTGAGCAGACAAAAGTCTGTGTGGCAACGGTGTTGAGCTCTTCTATTCAAAATATCTGAAACAAAACATGAAAATCACTTGCACTATATCAATAAACAGCAGCCTTACTTGCGTGCTTGAGGTAGATGTTTTCATTTCACTACCTTGAAGGCAGAAAACTGCTTTTGGGCAGTATTTGGTCCATCTGCAGTTGTAATGCTGCGGCAATAAAGCGGATAAATTGACAGTCAGGAAAAAGAAGATTGATACTGTTGTAAAAGAAAACTCACCACCCAGACAATGACAGCACAGCAAGAGAGACAGGCCTAAAACAGAATAATTGTAGAGTCCAATTCCCTGAAGAATCACAGTTTACTTTGCTTCCATTCTGTCATCTCCCTGAATTTTCAAAGAGCATCCATCATTGCCATGTAGAGATACAATTTAGGAAAAGAATACTATGATATTGCCTAGCTTAATTAGAGGAAATGTCTTCCAAAATCCCTGATTGTTTGCACTTACTGACGCTCTGTCCAGGCTGATGGTATAATGGGGGGGATGGCTTACTCTGCTTAAAGTGTCTGAGATGTTTAGAAACACCATCACTCCTGAGTGTGGTCTTGTACAATAGAAAGAGGCCGTGGAGCTTTTCAGCGCTGTTAAAGGAATGTGTGGAAGCCCACAAGAAATCCTTTCGTTCCAGGGTTGCTCCAAACACAGAAGTCTCACAGTGAAGATTAACTCTATGTGTCAACAGTAATGGAATCTCCCTTTCTGTCTCTGCAAACTTGACTAAACACTGAAGCCTCAGAGGAAAATCCTGGAGCCTGGGCCAGCAATGCTTATACCATCCGTGTCACAACTAGAGAAAAAGATCTCTGAATGCTTACCTTGCCTGAACAGCTTCTGAGTAGAAGTTTCTCAGCAAGCCTTGTGTATACTCTGTAGTGTAAATCACCTGTGATGTATGTATAGTCTAGAAATCTAAAATAAAGCATAGGCAGCGGTGTCACAATATCTGCAATAACCATTTACAACATCACATAAATTACCATGAAATTAAGTTTAAAGGGGAGTTGAACCAAAAAAAAAAAGCCTCATCTCATCAGTGAGTTGTGTGGAGGCAGATGAAGGAAAGCAGAGAGGAGCAGGGAGAAGGGGAGGAGATTTAAATGGCCAGCTTGTGAAAAAGGTAGTGTGGGACAATTAGAGGCAAGTGAGTTTCTCTGCCGACCGGAGCTCAGAGCAGGGCTGAAAACTGTTGGTGCAACTTCATGCAGGTTTCTTGGAGCCTTTTTTTGGACTGAATCGACTCCGTTTTTTAACTTATGTGCAGTGAATATGGTTTGTAAAAACCGGCTGCTACTCTTCGATGCTGCAGACAGTAGAGTCGTTTTAGGCTTTGTACTTTGATTCGGTTGATTTTTAAATGTGAATATAAAGATTTTTCATTTTATTTTTGACAGTATTATTTTATTGCATCAGCTCCTCCAGTTCGCCTCTGGGGCCTTATTCATTAGTAAGCACAATCTACTTCATCGGGTTACACGCGGCTGCGGAGCTACGTGACTGCACTCATTCGCAGCTTTACTAAAAACGGGAACTGACTACTTGGAAACTGCCGGTCAGCATCTTTTGTCTCTTCTGACTAGGACGGTGTTTTCTTTTTTTCTTCTTTTTTTTTATGTTGGATTGTTTTTTTATTGTGTGCATCGGGAGGCATCATCCACCCGCCTCCACTCGTAGACATCGCGAAATGAAACTCGGTTTTGTCATCCAGACTGCAGTGGCGCTTTATCTGCTGCTCTCACCTGCACAGGTAGGAAGTTACACTTTATTCTCAGCGAGGGGAGAAGTTTAAGTTTTAAGATTCACATTCTAGTTATTGGGTCTACTATAAAATAATAATGCAACTTTCTGTATAATAATTCCTGTGCCTGAATGATGGATGAAGTGTTAACAATCCATTGTTCTTTGACACCTTCGCTCCGTTTTGAATGAGCGCCATCCTGTTCGACTCATTCATAAGATGAAACGTGACAAACTGCATCACTCTACTTGTGGAACGCATGATGCCAAATGACTCACTGTTATATTTGGCGAATCTTACTAAGCTTATAATTACAGCTGCATTATACTTTAAGGCCAAGTTTCACAGACAGGGTTTATTCCCACTCCTGTAAGATGAGATTCTTTTTTCTGTAGTGTTTCCATCAAGGAAACACTCTTTAATAAATATGTTAAATTGTTAATACCTAGAGTTTTTAAACACTTCAGAAATAGAGGTAACAGATCCTGGTGAGTCAGCAGGCTGCTTAGTCTGACAGACTGAAAGTGTTGGCAGTGTATCAGGTAAAACTGGCAAGAAAGTTCACTGTCTTCTTTTTGTCTGCTGCTCTTTTGCCCTTTCTTTTTTTAATCTTGGAATATCTACAGGTTTAATGGGTACATGCAGTGGGAATAATCACCATGATGAACCAGCGTGTCTGTGTACAAAAAAATCTATTGAATTTAATTTCAGGCCAGTCATATCACTGTCAGGCTGGCAGTCGTACAAAGCTGTTCTGTTCTCTGTTGCCTGGCATTGCCTTTTAGCCAGAACAGAACAGGACCGAAACTGGAGTGAGAAGTAATTCAAAGGCCTGTGTTGCGCTGTAGAAACACTTGTAAGAGGAGGTGGCATTGGACAGCGGGACATGTGCCAACTAACGCTCAGGCTCTTGAACCCATTCAGGCTCTGATTTCCTCCCAAGGTGGCTGGGGGCTGGCAGCTATCTTTGATGGTGCTCATGTTTAATGCAAAAGAAGGCCCTTCTCGTGTCCATTCACTGCTGCTGTTACACTTCAGAAAACTGCTGCTGCCTGTTGAAAACTGCAGCAGTTTCCCTTTTGCCAGGCTGTAGCCTGTATATAGAAGTACTACACTCATTCTCTCAGGCTCTCAAGGTTGGAAAAAGTTCCATGTCGCACCAGAGCTGGAGACTTTGCAGCTGTTTAGGAGTTGAGGGTGAGTGGGAGAGGCATGGGATCACCACATCTCCACTAATCCTCATAATCAGCTCGTGGCCTGCTCAGTCAAAATAGGAGTGACAAAATCCAGGGCCCTCAACTTGTAGCAGGTTAAATAGCTCCTTGCTCATTGCTGCCCAAAAGACTGACAGCAAATGTAAACCAAACAATTCAGAGATTCAACAACCTATCTGTCAGGTCATGAAGACTGTCTATGAGGATCTGAGCTTGTTATTGCTGAGGTCCTTCTCTAACCCTTCAGTCGCCATTCATTGCTTTATTTTAAAAGGTCAGCTTAAAAAGGAAAGGTTGTTCTGTTTTCCTGCTTTAGTGCACATAAATATGTCTGAGGAACCAAATATTTGACTGTAGACAAGTGACACTCGCGCTAGCAGCTCTTTTCTGGAACTCTTCTGGTAGGTGTCTGTCCTGCCAGCTCCCACAGTAAACTGTCAGACTGGCTTACCAAAGTGGAAAAAGCAAACACTGGCCATGTGGTTGGGAATGTTTTTTTTATAAATGTCTGCCCCTGTGATCCTCTATCCATAAATATGTGCCACTAATTGATAATGAGGATTTCTCATCACTGTCACAGTTGGAGCTGCCGTCAGCAGCTTTGTGACTCATGCAGTCACTTATGTCTGCTATGAGACGTGAAGTGGCCGAGAGAGGGTGGGGTTATCTTCACTTCTGTTTGATAATTCTGTTTTACTACCAGGAATTTACAGCTTATTCGGTGTGTGAGTGTGTGTATGGTGTTTTTTGTGGCCCCTGCGTGTTATTTTATCTTCATAAGGACTTGAGGTTGTCAGAGTGCATAATAGTGTGTTGCAGCAGCAGCCTGGCCTTGTTGGCTTCTGACCTCTTGGATAAAGCAATGTCTACTTATGTCCCATCATCATTGGATGCATATGTCAGTAGTTTATTATTATAGGTAAACCAAAGAGTGCCCCCCTCCCTTAACCACTGGTTACAGGACACCCCCTCTACCTCCTAAAGTTAAAAAAAGATAATAATATAGTAAGGGTAAAGGTCAAGTAGATTTGAGGACATGGCTGCACCTGAGTGTACAAATTATGTAACTAAACCAAAGCTGATAAAGTACTACAGTCAATTAGTTACCTTCTGCATAAAACACATTATTGTTTATATGTGTATATATATATTTGCTGCGACAATTGAATTCATGTTGTCCCAGTCCCTGTGATTCCAAATCATGTGTGCCTTATGTTGATATGTACAGTTGGGATTTATTCTCTTGAAGCTGTCCTGGTCCCACAGATGTATGACTCTTGATAGAGGGTGGAAGCACCTGGGTTTCCCTTTGGAACAATGGTGGCCTTTTGCTCACCCTGTCACTGCGGCTGTCTAATGGAGAATACGATATAACTGCCATCCACCGGTTATTTTGTTCACATTCCTCGACACATTCTCCAGTTCAATGTGTCATTGGTACTTCTTGTGCACATAAACCCCACACTGTGCACATACAGAGTGTGTGTGTGTCTGTGTTTGAACTACTGCTTAGATCCTGCCTGTACTTTACTCTGCAGACTGAAAGAGCTTTGCCAGAATGTGCAGTACCTGTTGCCTCCTGCCCATTAAACATTTTCCCCCACCTTATTAAAAAAACACAACACAGGGATGGACTGTGTGAGCAATACCTTTTCTTTATCATCATAATGATTGAGTGTATGAATAATACAAGTGAAATCTTGCATCAACACAACCGAACATGACTGACATTACTCAGAATTTCCACTTAAGCGCTGGAGACATGGGCTGCTGCACAAATCAGGAATCAGGCCTTAAAAGATTTCTGTTAATTTAAGAAAATCAGTGAAGGATGAGAATTGTGAGCTTCTTTGGTATGAGATTACAAAATTCTTTATCTGTTTTAAGATACAACATTTTCCGTGGATAAAACCCATAGAAACCAAATATAGGAAAAAAACTTCTTGCTTAATTCATTTGCCTTTGTGGTTAGACTCATCACTTCACCAGTGAAGTATGTTCCTGATGTCTCTGAGCAAAAAAAAAAGAACAGGCAGTGAGTCTCAGCTACTGCTCTTGTATCTGTGTGTGTGCAGACATGACGTTACACAGGTGTTTCCTTTACGCCATCACCAGCAACACAACAATACTTGAGTCCGACCATCTGTATCGCTCACGTGTGTGTCTGTGTTTGTGTTAAAAGGGTTTTTCTTATTCTTGCTCATAACTGGCCAAATGTATGTGATGATGTTAAATGTTCTATTGCAATAGAGCAAAAGATTTATCAAAAATATGAACAGTAAACATCATGTGAAGGTTTCAGATCCTCAGAATCAAGGAGCAACAGGTTTTGTCAAGCTGCAGCTCTGTTATCGACAATCAAACATTAAAGATTCTACCTTCTCGCTTTGTCTCTCATACACATCTTTCTAGTTCAGATGTCTGCATGCTGGGCCATGTAGTGCTAGTGACCTGCTGACTGATAGAGTTCTTATTTGCGCTGTTGTGGTATTTCTCTCTAGTTGTAATGTCCCGGCCCAAGGGAGGGTCGCAATCGCAATCAGGAAATATGGATTTCTCCTTCCTCCCGTGGAGGAGGAGGAGGAGTGGTGGTGCTCGGGGCAGCCGTCTACTCAGCAAGCTTTAATCTCCCATCTGGATGTAATTTACTGTGGTTTACAGAGGGAGAACAGCGTTTACTGTAATAGAGACCACAATTACCACCGGTCAGCCTTATCTCAAGACCTGTGTCGTGTGTGTGTATGTTTGCGGATGGGGTGCGCGGTTTATACAGTGGTTATGTGTGTTTGTGTGTGTCTTTAGGGGGACATTTGTGCATGCATTAATGGACTATCTAAATCAACATTTATATGCACCCTTACCTCTCCCCCCTTCACTTGACCCTGTTTTACTGGGATTTTTCATTCAACAACTACTCCAAGAAAACATGATTGTAATGTTTCCAAACTCCCTGCAGATGACAATATATTAAAGGATATGATTATCATTATCTCACTCTTTAAAAAGAGTATTAGAAGTAATCTGAGATGAATAGTTTAACAATGTGGGAATTTGCTTATTCTCTTTCTTGTTCTTGCTGAGAGGTAGATGTGAAGAATGTGTCCTCAATTGTGTGCATTAAATAAGCCAAAGCCAAGAAACAGTTAGCGTATGTTAGCATAAAAAGTTAAAAATGTAAAGTTTTCTTTTTACAGGGGTTTTAAATAGTTTAGCACAACTATTTCTTAGATAGGTGCAGTGACTTCCTGGATTCTTGTCATCACTGGAAATAACCGGTCCCAGCCTAGAAATCGTATGGCACAAAAATGCCCTTAAAACCATATCTGTCATTATTACCATTTGTTTATTTTTGCTTTAGAGGCACTGGTAGGTGGATTTTCTTACCTTTGGAGTGAGCCAGTCTGGGTGTTTCCTCTTGTTTACAGTCTTTATGCTATATAAAGCTTACAGTCTGCTGGCTACACCTTCATACATACAAACAGATATTAGAGAGGGATTGATCTAACACTCAGCAAGAACACTAGCACATTTCCCAAATTGCGAAACTGTTCACATTTTGTGTTTCCTCATAGTTAAAATGTATTGTTATGGTTCTTGACTTGGCTTTGACTTTGTGTGACACCCCGACTAAAACCGTGTGTATACAAAACAGAACCTGGCTTTCTTTTGTGGTGGTGGAGAATAGATACAGTGACCTGCAGCCCCTGTGAGGCCTGAGAATTAATGTTGCGGTCATGGTGTTGATGATGTGGAATCTGGTTCTCGATAAAGGATGGATGCGGAGGATCAGCGAGGCAGGGAGGTAGCTCTGTTTCTCACTCGTCTAGCTGTCTCTGTGTTTGTATTCACTTCTTTCTGCTTTAGTGCTCTCTGTCCTGTGTGGTCTTGTGTTCACAGTCAGGCTTCAGTCAGACCAAAACCAGGACACAATCTCCCCTCTGGCCTGTATGTTTTCAGCGAGCTGGAGATGCAGGTGCTTTACAGGTCTGGATTATGGCTGGATGTTAGCCAGCTGTGCTTTTTAAACATGCTTTGCTCGAGTTCCCCTCTGCATGCATCCACCAAACACTGTTAAAAAGACGATTTAGTTGACAGAGATTACCAAAACACAAGCCTGCATCTCATCCATGGTCTGTTTATCAACACTGTCACCCTCACTGAATAGGGTTCAGTTTTAAAGTAGAACATTTAGGAAAGCAATTCAAATAATGGCAAAAAGAAGTCAAGAAGAACTGAAGAAGGGTCCAAATTAAACCAACTACAGAACACCCCTGATTATCTTAAAAATTAGTCCAAACTTTGACTTAGTTTCCTGTTACTAGGGATTCTGTTGAAAGTCATTGCTTATTACAATCATTGGTCAGTTGACTTTACTTGAAAGTGATCACTGTGCAAGCTGTTGTAGTTTGTCAAAGATGATGAAGGAGCCTTGTGAGAGGACAATAAATGCGATATTAAACCTGTAGTAGCTTCAGTTTACACCTTTTATTATTCTTGATAATATTGGTGTGCTAACCGGTTATATAGTCAATTATGGTTCAATTGTTCTTCCCGCTCTTGTTAAAACTACACCAACAAATTCTTGTGAAATGATGGTGAAAGCTGCTTTTAAGATAAAATTAACCAAGAGAATTGCAAGAGAACTGCTGGACCGAGGCTGAACTTCTCAATTCCTAGCAAAACAAACCAAACATGACTCACCTTTACTATCGCTGTTGTGCAATCCAAAGGAGAAGAGAAACCTACATACAGTTCTGCATCATCAAGTCCTGTTACGTCAGACGAAGTTGTTCTATCTATTTAGGCTGAACTGGCAAAGAAACCTATCTGCATTTGATTTTCTTTACTTTACATCTGTCTCGTCTCTATTTCTCATTAGAAAATACACTGTGGAATATATTGGCTGGTGTCCAGATCTTTTTGGCTATAAGCCAGAGTACCTGCTGTTGAATTGCCTATCGACCCCCTTTGCAACTTGACCCTCAAAGTTGAAAAATCTTTTTATGACCATTATGCTGGGTCCCCATCATGTTTTGTTTTTGCTCCCTACGCATGCTGCCCTTCCTCTGACAGATGGAGTTAAGCAAAGAGGTTAAAGATGACGCAGTTCAGCTGTGTGGGAGTGGAGAGTAATGAGGCCCGGAGCCTCTGTGGCCTGACAGCAGGAGCCCAGGGACACAACAGGTCCTCTGCTCTGACCCAAAGGACAGAGCAAACTCTCAGCCAGCAGCTCACAAACTTTCACTAGAGACTTCAGAAACAAACTAGTTTTTAAAGCAACTTTGCAATCAAGCATGTCAACCTCTAAATGCCACAGGTTCATTACTGCTGTAGCTGCTATAGATGTTTTAATCTAGCCTCTCTTGCTCAAACTAACTGCCCGTCACTGTGAAAAGCAATCTGGTCAATCTTGTTAACGAAAGGCCTCTGAGAACAAGAACTGAGATGTCAAGAAACTTAAAAAACTATGGGACGGTGTCCAGAGTGGGCAGGGGTAGCATGACCCTGATTACAAATCGGCCATGTTAATTATGCAATGAGAATGGCTTCTCTGGCACAAGGCTTACACTGAAAAGATCAGACAATTAATCAATGACAATCTTAAAGTAATTTATTTAAGTAAAAGTGCCAAAGTTCCGGTTACGGTAAACCTCAAATGCAATGTTTCCATGCTTGGATTTCATATTACAAATTTAAAACCTTTGATTTTTTTATGCTGTGTTCAGAGTAATGAGCAATGTTAACGTACCACTGTGGACATTTTTAAATTTTATGACATTTTAAAATAAATGATTACCCAAGTAATCAAAAGTAATTGTTAGTTGCAAGACCGTGATTCATCTCATACCAACTTTGAAAGAGATCATTGAATCTTCTGTGAACTGCCCACTTTTTAACTCACACATCTATATCGACCTTATTCTAGCATCAATTGTTTTTATTGTTAATATACGTCATAGATTGTTCTGTTCTGATTGCCAAATAAGATCCAGTTTATCAAATATTAAGCTGCTTGTGGGACCTTGATGTTTAATCTACCATCAGCAGCAATATATTTTTTGTTGGATTGTGCAGGAAGTTGAGCCTGCTAAACTCAGCACATCGAAGATTTTCCTTCTATCTGATGTTGTTGTTGTTGTTTTTAATTGGGATTGGAATGTCTTTTTTTAAAATGATTTCACAACCGTTTTGGTATTGTCCAAAGGCCAGATGTTGTACATACAATGCAGAGGACATAGAGTCATGGTATTCCATTATAAGCCAAGAATAGATGAATTTATAGTCAGGTCATGTCAAGTTTGTATAGCCCTCAATCACAGTTAGTCTCAAAGGTCTTAGCACCCTTATTATAAAAACAATAAATGAAAATGACACACAACAATGTAAGACCCTCTCTGAGGATAAGTCAAAACTCCCTGAAAAAGGTCATTGGGGAATAAAGTGAAAGAAACCTTGAGAGGACTACTTAGAGAGCAATCCTGCTTCTGGGATTTATTAGACAAGTTTATACACATTTACTGATGTAGAGCGGTTTTCCCTTTTTCACCAGAGCTGAATTACCTCCCAGTCACCATGAATCACTCAGTAATGCTGTAAGTGCACCAGGAGGAAGGAATGGCTACGTGAGGATCTTCATGCAGCCTTTCATAATCTGGCAGCTTCTTGCTGGCAACTCACTCCTCTGTCCTCAACCACAGGAGGTGCCAAAGATGCTTCCTCGCCATGTCAAGGCTTAACCCATGACAGAGGTCAGAAAATCCTCCCCACCTCACCACATTTCTGAACGGCAACCGAGACCAGAGCCAAAAAGCCCTTGTGATGTGGAGCAGCCTCATGAACGCCCATAGACAAGAAGAGAGAGAGCAGATCATATGCCAATTAACGCTGGAAAAGGATTTATTTGATCCGCCTGGCATTGCTAGAGAGGATAAAAAAATAATCAATGCCCCAGAGAGTGGAAGTGACTTTTAACAATAACTTAAACTGAACTGTGACTTTCCCATGCTGGGCATGAAGCAGACTCTGCTAGTGGAGCTTATATCCTGTGGTGCTGTTGCAAAGCCGACACAGTTCGATGAACGCCACTCTATAGAACAACTCCTCCGTCAGTTGAACAGCTGTACATTTTGACCAGATGACCAGCCACTTTGAGAGAAAGAGGGAGATGAACAGATTCCCCTAACACAGGAAGGACTGAACCTAAGTGGTTGACTGGAAGCTCTTGTGTATCTATTGATAGATGTCATACAGTACGTTCTGTCGCAGACAAGACAGAGCTGTCCCAAATACATAGACTTGCCTGCCACTTATCTCAGTGACAGTTTTACAGGAACCTCTGAAATGTTTGTGTGAGTGTGAATGCATCATCATCATCAAAGCAGGACATTCCTCTTTAATCACATTCTTTGGAAGAAACGGCTGAGTGTAGCACAGCGCTGATAGATGTTATCTTCACCCTCAAACTAATTTTGGTTCATAACAGGAAGTAGATGCATTTTAGCAATGGACAGATGGTATAAGAAGCAACGGTCCTTAATGTCATCATTTGGGAAAGTCCTTGTCTGTCAGTTTGCTATTATGTAACAACTTTTGGTCCAACGCTTTCAGTTAATCGCAATGTCACAGTATAAATGTCGTCAGGTGTGTGTGCTAGACAAGAACTGAAATGTAACACCAGTGATGAGGAGAGATTGCAGAGGCAGGTTCTCTGCCGCCGTTCCAGCTCTTATGCTGGAGGGTATTTTATCAAATGTAGATTTCCCTTCCTGAGATGGAGTCAACTAGAGGTTTTGTGTTTTCCCAGGCGAATGAGAAATGCACTCTGTTTATCAAGGGTTGATGGGAAAAAATCGAGACAGAGGGGAAACCATCAATGGGAAAATAAATACAGAGCTGAATATTACACCACAGGAAACAGGTTTTGAACCTAAACAGTTGAACACACAGAGGAATAGTGCTATATATGAGAGACTGAATCTGCTACTTGTCAGAAAAGACTTTTCCAATGCAGGGTGGACAAAAAAGGTGTGTGATCATCTGCTTTATTTCAATGTAGTTCCAGCTGTCACCACTAGAGGACTAAGAGACTATATATAATATATAATATGAGTGGCATTTTAACATCCAGTGTGTAACATTTATGAGGATCTATTGGCAGAAATGAAATGTAAAATGTTTTCATTAGTGTATAAATCACCTGGTTATAGGAATCCTTTTTGTTACTAACAATGAGTCATCATTATCTACAGATGCCGGCATAGTCACGGTAGCCTACAATGAATAATCAATCATTTTATTTTTTGTTTCTGTTTTGCAGAGTCTTCCCTTGTCAGGCATAAACAGTACGACTGAAGGTAAGAATTTCTGTTAGTTTTATTTCTGAAATCTGTGTTGGGGATGTTCCTTTTAAAACAACACAGTTACAACTATTTTGTCAAACTATATTTTTATGTTTGTGTTAGAAAGACAGTGGACCCAGCACTGACAAAATACCTGTGACTAAAGATGCATTGGCTCATACTGTGTTTTTTATTCAGTGTCGAGAAATATAAAGTATGCTTTTCAATCTTGCACACATTCTTGAATCTTGCATCAATGAATTTGATCGGAGTTTAGAAGAGAGCAGGACAAGTCTGGACTAGCCCGGTTGACTCAACTGCTTACTTTACCTCATATCCTCATATCCTCCTCCTCCTCCGTCACATCAATTGAAACCAGTGCTGCTAAAAGAGAAATATATCAATAAAATTGAGAGTTAAAAACTAGTAGAACTTGCAGCCAGAGGATTAGAGGACATATAACAGAAAAGACCAGATAAGCAGCAGACATACAGTCAGCTCAAAGAGCTGTAACTGGCCAGTCAAATGGCACTTTGCACTATACAACATTATAGTTCGTGGCCTCATCTCCCTACTGTAGATCCTTCCCCAGCCGTCTCCTCCCAGCCTGTCTGCTTTTATAAACAGCTGTTGTGGTGTCAGGCTCCATTCTGTGACCCCAGGGGTCACCGCAGTCCCAGAGGTGCCTGCGGGGCAGCTCAGCTCCAGCTCCAGCAGGGTTCTGTTCATGGCCATGTTTCCAATGTTTGTTTTCTCTTCCTTCTCTGTTTGTTCGGCCATAGTCGTCCCTGTTCGTCCCCCACAGACTGTGCAACTGGGACACTTTCACACATATACCCCCACAGGAAAGCGTACTGTACATTAAACAAACATTTTTACTGCAAAATGAAAACAGGATACACACTGGCGTATCACAACTGGTTTTATGTTTCTGCCTACATGGTATAAGGTTGCCATTACTGAACAATTGAGGTAATTACTGATGCTGTTTGTGTATTAACAGTGCAGTTTGATTCATGTGCGACAAATGTTTTTTTTCTGGCAGCCGCAATTAAGGGTTACATAGACAAAATCAAATAAGCTGGATGGTGATTGCATGCTGCACTGTAAAAGTAAGACAGACAGGTGGGCAGATAATAATACGGCTCTTAACAAATATTCATTTATCTGACCACACATTCTGCTCAGCACCTTTATTGTCTTCTTAAAGCAAGATTCCTGATAAGAAACTTAAATATGTAGACTTGTTTGTACTCAGCATCCTACTCTCATCCATAGTGTTGATGTTCCAAGAAGTGTGGGGCCGCAGCTTCTGCCGGACCATTGAGAAGCTGGTAGAGGTGGTGCAGGAGTACCCAACAGAGGTGGAGCACATCTACAGCCCCTCCTGTGTGCCGCTGGTGAGGTGTGCAGGTTGCTGTGGGGATGAAAACCTGGAGTGTCATCCCACGCAAACGACAAACGTCACCATGCAGGTAACATAAGGGCATTGTGCAATATATTGCTGTATGTTCCATAATTACTTCGATTGATAATCTTAACTCGCTTTAACCCTCAGCTGTTGAAAATCAGGCCCTCAGAGCCAGATCAAGAATATGTTGAGATGACGTTTGTGGAGCATCAGACATGTGAATGTAGGTAAGAAAACACGTCATTATTAAATACTAAGTATTAAAATACCAACCCGTGTCCTAGAAATTACATTTACGTACTACTGATTGACAAAGATTTATCAACATAATACAGGTCACAAAAGTCACAAAATGTTTACATGGAACACAACTGCAAAATGTTTATTTGTTTTGTTGTCATGTTTAAAGCATTATTCATGTTTTTACGGTTAGGATAGCAACAAAGGCGTTTTGGTTGGGGAAAGTTTGAGGTCAAATACTTCACTTTATTAGAATTAAACTGAAACCAACATCTTTCCCTAACTTTACAAAAAGGCGCTTTTGTTGCCTAAACCTAACCACATGACAGATGTGAAACCCAGTCTCAGGGTTCACCATCCGGCCCAACTTCCGTATGACTTGGTACAAAAGTGCAGCACAAATAATGTTGCCAGTAAACATAATCCAGCAATTATGTTTCCCTCAAAATGTATTTGGTAAAACAAATAAGTATATAAACGCAATTTCTAGGATACAGGGTTATCAAATACGTACAATGACGATTAATTAATATAGCAACTGGATGTTCTTTCTAATTTTTTGAACCATTTGTTCCTCAGAGTCAGGAAACCTATTGTGAAGGTTGAAAGGTAAGAACATGAATATAATGTTGAAAAGAATATTAATTATCCATCTCAGAGAATGCAGGTGCTTATTGCTAGTTCTGTTCCTCTTGTAGGAAAAGACCAAGAGGAAGAGGAAGGAAGAGGAAGGAGAGACAAAAAACAAAAGAATGTGACAGGTAATGAATGGCACAATCTTGGGAGACACAATACCCTCCAACTATCAATCAACAGCATTAAAGACAAATTATTCTTTCTTGTGTTTGTCAGGTGCCAGAACCCTCGCAGGTAACTGCAGTGGCGACCCAACCACCTGTTGCAGTGTGGCTCACTATTTATTTCCAACCCAGTGACAGCATCAAGAGTCTCCTCCACTCATCTATTAATACTGGGTCTGCAGACTCAAACAGCTGGGTTGTTTTGTTGACACGCCCTCCTGCTGATGGGCACAGCGTTTGTAATGACGAGCTTCAACAGGAAGTGTGTTTTGATTGGTGGAAACACTGCTGTTCCACACCTGACACAATGGACATGCCTGGGAGCCAGTGCAATGTAGAACCAAACAGACAATGCCTTCTATTTTATACTAGCTATTACTGTATCAGTTATTGTAATTTGGTCATTTCTTTGGTATTTAAAGGTGGCTACACTTGTTTAAAGTCTATATTTATTGATACAGCTAAATATATTTGGACCAATCTTTAAAAAGTTTGTCATTCTTTGTTCAAACATTATCCAAGAAGCTTTGACTTGTCATAGCAGCATATGTTGGACTGAGTGTGCAGCTGCTTTGTACATTCAATAATGTAATGTCTCCCTCTAGTGTTTATGGAAACAGTGTTCAAAACTACTCTATAGGAAAGTATTTTTTTTCTAGGTCAACTCCAGAAATGAGATTATAGAAAGGGCAGTGTTGTCAGCCACATTCAATCACATCATTAGCTTATTGGAGTCTTCTACCTATTCGTTCTGTAAGTATAGATATGAGTTTGAAGTGTTTTACTGTCAATTCAGACCAAATAAGAACAGTATTTATCAGAAAAGGATTATGTCCACAGAAGATTGTGTATAAATAAATAACTGTGATATATCAAAGAACAGACAAGGCAAGCCCAGTAGGAATGGGCAGATCACTACACAAATCAATACACTCAAGCACTAATTTGGTGATGATACCTATGAAAGAGTATCAGTTATAATTGTTTTTTCACTGTTTTAATGCCATTGCAAGGTTCTCACAGATATAAAAGCATTTTCGGTTGTTTGTGCAGTTAAGCAGCACACATTTGTGTCCACCCTGGTGAGTGTCTCCCATAAGCCCACACCACAGGTGGCTTCCTTTGTCTGTTTTTGGAAACACTGCAGTTAGGAAGGGATCAATTGCAGTAGTTCTGTAAAATTATGTCCTTTTGTATTTTTTTTCATGAACTACATAAAGAAAATCTCTATGACAATGTAAAAATTAACATTTCTACTGTGTTAGTATTTTTATTTCATTTAAATATTTATTTTGTAATTAAATTGTTATGTTGTCAGCTTGTCTTGTGTGATTTATTTGATTAAATACAAAAGTGTCATCTGTATGTGTTCTGTATCATATACTAGAATTTTTTTTAAAAATTTAGTCCATATTTAGAGCCTTAAAAGCCACATAAGTCTGCAGAGGCCGCACACACAACAAAAACAAGCGCTCCCTTTCTTCGAGCTGACACGTTACCACGGCAACCTCTGTGCCAAGCCACGGTCACCGCCCGGGGGGAGCCCTCAGTGTTGTCTTACAACCATTGTTTTATAATAACCTCTACCTAGGGAGGGCTCTTTGTGTACACTGACAGCTATCAGGAACATTAGAAACATGTGCTTGTTTGTTGCTGGAAATGTATCTAAATACGCCACTGTGGGAGTTGAGCTAATTAACTCCGGAAGATGGCAGTAGTGCAACACCAACGATGCCAGCTGCCGTTAAACCTGACAGAAGAAGTAGAAGAAAGCTAGACCTCCTGAATCGAGCACAACTCTTACTGTAACCCTGGATGCCAATATAAACGTTTCGAGCAAAGAGCGTATTGGTAAGGCTTGCAAAAGTAACGCTATTAGCCGAGTAGCTGATCGATAGTGTGATCAGCTGGTTGCCAAACGCCAGCTGCGGTCGTTAGCATCAGCTAGCTAGCGCAGAGGCAGGGCAGTAAACAGTGGAAGTGACTCGTTCATACGGACAACAGCAAATGTTTCTTTCCGCGTACCAAGAGGTTGTTGTTATCTGCAGTTTAGTTGTGTTGATAAGTTAAAGTCAACCAGTGTGCGGCATTTACCAGCAAGTTAACACAACTGTCGTTAACAGTTAGTGATTAATTGGCAAAGTTGCGTGTGTAAACAACAACAACAACAACAACAACAACAACATTAACGTTATAATGCAGTGAAGACTTCTAGCTTATGTTTATTGTTTACCTTGACGTGTTTTCTTGTTCTTTCTTCAGACTGGGGGTGACGGGCCTCTTGAATGTCAAGCTCAGTTCAATAAATGGACACAACTTTTATAATGATGTGATTAATAATACTTTTCTTTTGACCTTATTATTGTCCTGTTCTAAACCCAGTATCATCCTATTTGTAAGGGTGTCGACAAAATGCTAGAATCACATTTCAATATATGGATGTTTAGTACACTAATTACTCTAGTAATTTAAAGTTGCACTTTCAATAAGACCGAATATTTTAAGGAGGGTAAGAAGAAGTTAAGAAGTATTTATAGCAGGGCTGTTTGTATTGGTTTGCATTACACAAAACTGGTGTTTCTGATTTTCTGGCCTTTGGTGTAGCACTGATCTACTGACCCATCAGTACTTGTGGATAATTTATGTAAGCACTAAATAGTAATTCAGTCTGTGAAATGTCCTGCACGACCTACTGAGGTGAATTCACTGTCATCAAGATACTTAAATGGGAGAGGAGGATGGAAACAAACTAAATAATACAGTGTAATGATGATATACAAGCAACTTTGGTTAAAAGTTTACAGTGTCTCTTCACTTTTTCAGTCTCACTGGGTGCTAACTAACGTAAAGTCATGTCAGTGCCTTTACATACCCTGAACTCAAAGCAAAAGCACATTAAACTCCATCAGAGCCATCCTGGGCTTTGCTCTTGTAAAATTAAGACTGTTTTGATGTTTTAACTTTTAACTCTCTGTGTTTGCAGAAGAGGCAAGCATGAGCAGTTTTAGTAGACCTGCCAGACACAGGACGCCACCATTCACCAGGGCAACGCACCTTGGAGCATCCAAGCCTGACCTGGAGAGAGATTCAGGCTTCTCAGGTTTGAGTCAATTATGTTGCTTTGTAGCGATACACCTTACGTTTTGTCTTTATCCTAATGTATGTTTTATTTTGGCAAGGTAGTGTTGTGAATGTGGCATGTGTTGTGATCTAGGTGAAACTCTGTATAATTGGCATTTCCATGATTAGAAAACATGACTATAAAGTCATAAATAAGGTCAAACCTAATCAAATCTAGAGATCTAGGTCACATTTTCTATGTAGGTTATCCTCTATTGGGTCAATTTTACTTATGACTTTTATTTAAACTATGAAGGCTGACCTGGATTTGGTTTAGCCCTCCTCAGGTCAATGGTGTCCTTTTCCAGACGCTCTGGAGATGCTTATCTACATCTGCCACTGTTTTTATAGCACTAATAGTCTTCCTCTTGTACACATTATAAAGTTATATGTGTTGGTTTTGAGCATGGTGAAACCCATACGCTTGTCTTCCCCTCCTCAGATGCCAGCTCTGAGTACCTCAGTACAGTCGATCTGACTGACTGTGAAGATGCAGGAAGGAATGGGTTAATAGTCAGCCAGGACCTGAGTGGTCCGCAGCTGGCTGTGATGGGAGGCTCGTATGCTGGACTGTCTCCTATGATCATCATGAATAACTTTGTCTTAAAGCAGGTAAAATACAGCAATGAATGTCTGTCTGTTTCATTACTCTTGCAGAGTTTTAACCGCCTCATCACCTTTGAGATTTTTTGGCTCTTAACTCTGACTACCACTGCTAGTACATTCCTACATTTCTGCCTTTTCTTTGTTTTCTTTATCTGTTTTGAATGTGTGTTCAGTTTGTATACGCTCCTTGTAGTACTGTATTATAGATATTAAAGGTTGTTTTTTCTTCTCTAGCCATCCCCGATGACTCCAGCAGAAAAACAGTGGGGCTTTCCTTCACCCTTGGAAGTGATGCCTCAGTCCCAAGTGGTTCTTCTTCAACCCGTGGTATCAAATGGCAGCAGCAGCTCTCCAAAGATTGGCTCTGAAAATATCCGACAATCAAAAAGCTACATGCCCATCCTCAAGTCATATCCCAGAATCGCCCCACACCCTGCAGACACGCCCACTAAGTGGGTGGGATCCTCGAGGGTGAAGGTGAGTTCAACGTCAAGACATGACCAGCGACAGAGGAGGCACCATCGCAGCCACAGGCTTTACAGCTCCCCAAGCCCACAGCCAGCACTGCAGACCACAGTCAAACCCGTCTCCAACTTTGAAGCGGCAAACAACCAATCACAGGCAGCTGAGAGTCAGGAGCAGCTCAGTGACAAGTCTCTCTCCCCGCTGACAGGGAGCAGCTCTCCGCCCTCCTACACAGATGAGTTCATGGCCGAGATTGACAGCGACAGGATGCATGATGACAAATACCAGGATCCCTTCTCAATGGACAATAACAAACTGAAACGTTTCAGCAATACCTACAACATTCTCAACAAGTCTGGCTTGCTGGGGATCACCATGCGCACAAAGCAGCTGATCAAGGAGAATAAGCGCACCCAAGGCCAGCTGCAGCAGCTTCAGGAGCAAACAGCTCTGCTGCTGGAGGCTCTGAGCAGCGGAGACCCGCAGCTCTGGACTAAACTGCAGCTCTCTCTGCAGCACACAGACAAGGAGCACTGGGGAGCTAAAACTCAGAGAGTCCTGGAGTAATATATCGATGGACATGACCAGCAGTTCTCAATCAGAGGCTCATAAGATGATTTATTGAATGTGAAAATGTATATCTCAAATCTTTACAAAAAAAAACTTTCTTCGTATGAAATAGCCATTACACCATCTAGCATTAAAACTAAACAGACTATATCTTATAACTGAACTAAAGTATATAAGTGTAAATATATATGAAGAGGTACAGAACATCTTAAATTGATGGGTTATGAAGCCAAAAACATTCAGGACTGCTGGTCTAATATGAAGCCGAAGCACATCTACTAATACCAAGTGGGAGTTAAGAAGCATGCTTACATTTCAAACCGTCGCCTATAATGAATTTTCTTGCCTCTACTGCTTCAAAATGGCAAGTATCACTTGCCATAGGGCTATGGCTTCTATATGTTGAACTCCTAATTGCATAAAACGCATGCCTTACAGCACATGTGAGGACACATGGGATTAATTCCTTATACATGCCTTGAATGTGATGGCTTTAGACAAAATTTGAGCATCACTTTTACTTTTTAAATTAAATAGAAAACCTGGATAAATTTAAATTTCTTCGTTACTGAGAAGCATTTTGAATCAATAGCACAATATCTAGTCCTTTGTTTTTATTTACTTTTGTTTTAAATTGGATGGTAAATGAAACTGAATGAGCAGATGTCTCCTTTTGTGAGAAAGTGTATATACTAACAGATTGTATTCTCAAACAAGAGCTGGGTGGCCCACAGTGAGAGTACAGAAGGCTGGTTAGCTACTTTTCAGTATTATTTATTTGTAATTATGTTTCTGACCAACACTAAAGCTGTGTGAATAATATGAACAAACCAAGCACATTATAACGAGTTTTCTAGTTCACTGGTAAAAGCTCATTTTTTCAAAAGATACCATAAATAACTAAATAAGAATTTGTGAAAGCATAAACTGTAGCAGGTGAAGTGCTGTAGCCATATATTCTTTCTTGACTTTGCATCTGTTGTTGCTATGTTTATTCCTGCTCCTTAAGCCTGGCGTGATGTGTATTAATTTAAACTTCAAGGCAAAGAAATGACAGCTAAATAGCTTCTTTTAGTTTCATATGACTGACTCTTGCACTTTAGTTATAAGATTACTGACAACGTGTTTAGACAAACGTTACGACTACGATGTTAATATAAATGTATATCTGGATGCCTGTGCCTTTTTTAAAATATGTTTATGTTTGTACGTAATATCAGCTTGAGCAGCTTAGATTGTGAGCTTCACGTGGAAGAAAGATGAATGTACTTAAAGGTCTCCAAAGAATTAATATTTTTCTCTGAATCAGAACAAATCATGACCTGACTAGGCAATACATGCAGAGTTGCTGTAGAAAGAGTAGCACAAAGACAAGTTAAGTCATAAATGGTTGAGTTTTATATGTTGAATTATTTATTTTAGCAACAATGCACTACTGTTGCAATATTTTCCGATCATGCGTAGTTGGAAAAACTAAGAAAAAAGTCTTGGGTTCAGAAGGACAAATGGAGAGTTAAATAAAATGTTTGTTACTTTTCAGAGATGCTGCTTTTCCTGTTATTGTGATATGTGCTTTCTGTATCATTTCTTTAGCAAAAGTCACTTTGACCAATAACGAACTGTCATAAAACGCTGTTTGAAGATAATTTCCTCTCAGTCGTTTATTTCATTTTAGTTTTTTAAAAACAGAGTGGCTGCTTGTTGTGAGTTTAATACTTTTATTGGTATAACAGGAATAGACAAAATAGCTCTAAAAAGTATATTTATTGAAATTCAAAACATCTTTGACATGATGTTGAATATGTAGCCGCAGCATAACAGTGAAGAGTCCTTACTATTATTATACAGAGGGCCCTATCATTAGCAGTGTAGTGAATACCTCATCTTTGGGGTCATCTGTAAGCATGAGTTTATGGCACATTGTGAATAATACCCTGGATAATAATATGGTAATCGTCTTCATACACCCCCCCCC